ACATTAAAGCTCTTTTGCATACCGCAAGTTAGACGCACCCGTCAATCAATTTTGCGGTAGTAGCAGAACAGTCCTGATCGTTCCCATTTCCAGACACACTCTTGAGTAGCTCTGACGGTAAAATTCAGCGTAGCGTCTATCGTAAGAAAACGCGGCAATATGCCCATTTTGTGTGTTTTGTACCGTTAAACGATAAACATAATTTAGTACGATGTTTGACACCACGGGCGAAAATGGTCTGGTCGACCAATATCATCAACGAAGAGATTAAATTTATAGACGGCGTTTTTCGAAAACAAATTGGCATTTTAGTCAATTTCTTGCTGAGCTCATAACTGAAAGAACATGCAGCCCCAGGTTGTCACACAAGAGACGAGAGGAATTTTCATCCCGGTCCCATTTCAAAGGGACGCACCAAGGCGCTTTATTCACACTTCATCAAAAAACTTTCCCACGGATGACGCCTAAATACTGCTCTCGACTAATCCCCTCATATGCTGAGAGAGGACGGATAAACTGCTAGCGGTAGACTATATTGGTCGGAATAGCTGACGTTTTTCCTAAAGTATACGAGAGCACCTGTCAGCGTGTTTGGGAAAGGGCCAAATAAAGTATACGAAAAGCTCCATTTTAGCGCACAGGGTAGACTCAGATTAGCCTGTTGATGCTGGAAGGTCTACCCGAGTGATATACAATGTCCCGCCAAGCTTTTCAAAATTCCTTAAACAGCGTCTGATGAATGCAACAGAAGCGACTGCAATCAGGCTACGCAACCTGGCGCTGTGCCCCAAAATAATTTCGTCAAGGCACCACAGTTACTACGGCTGAAAGTCACCAATTCAACCGTCCACAGCTAATTACTGTTCCACCTGACACTGATAACATTACTTGCTCCAATTTTGCTCTCCCTCCCCCAATCGGACAACCGCACACTTTCTCTATCAACCCGCATATTTACTTAGTTACTAACGCTATATATGTAAGGGCCTGAGGATTATTCATTGAAAGTAGACGCATGCTCACCAATTTATCTTTTACAACCAAAGTTCGTCGCATTTCATGCAGCCTGGGGTGTTCGTTGTCTTTTAGACAATTCGAAGACCAACCGACCGAACAGGAGGGCCGCACTGGGCAAGGGAATTGCCAGATGATACAAACCCGCTTCTACGCTACAGCAACACGGACAAATCATGCATCAAACGTCATCTAACTCGGAAGGCAACAACCCTCAAATA